TAGCTAGTAGGTTTTTGAGATATAGTATTCCTGGTAATATCACCACTGGTGATAAATAGCAATATTCTTTAAAAATATCTAATAATGAAAAATTGTTTAAACTACATAAATTGTACATGAGATTTTATCTTCATAGGGTTGACAATCATTAGCTATTAGGCTATATAAAAAAAATTTTTGGGTTTACATTCATAGAACTGTTTAAACAGACCCGGCCGGTCGGCTTTTTTTTAAAAATTTTATATATAAATTTTTTTACGCTATCATAATTTCTGGAACACCTTTCAATTCGAGGCAATGATGTAATTCCCGAAGAGTTAGGTAATTTACCGAACGACCAAAAAGATTTCGAGTAATGAGTACCAGAAATTATGATAATAGCTGTAAAATTTTTTTTAAAAACCCACCCGGTTATTAAAACATAAAAAAATTTTTTACAAATTTTCAAATTTTGACCCGGCCTGGTTATGAAAACCAAAAAATTTTTTTTATATGGCCTTATATTAGTATTTGAAATTTACTTTCGAGTAAGTCTATTCATTATTCGTTAGGTACGAGACCAGTTTGATTGGTCAGTGGACACGTTTTGATCACTATTAATTTAGCAAATCAAATAATGTTTTCTATCATTGATTAGACGCGTAAATATAAACTGCTTAACCTTTAAAAAAAACGTTCCTCGAAAATGAATTTCACTGAGCCACACAATCAATCCTTAAACCTTTGCCGGTTTTCTCCTGATTTAAAATACATCGCAACAGCCATTGAGAATATAATTGTAATCCGCAATGCGGAAACCCTTCAGGTGTCGCGTGAATTCAAACATTCTACCCTCATACAATGTATAGAATGGTCGCCAAATTCCTCTCTGATTTTAGCTGCGAATCTTAAAAAAGGTGACATAGTTGTTCACGATATAAACGATCCTACATGGAAAAAAACAATAAAGGAAGGTCCTGCCGGATTACTTAATGTAAAGTGGAATCTCGATGGTAAAAGCATTATGTGTTTCTCAGATTTTGAGGTAAGTTTGTAACATTTATAAATTTATTGAGAAAAAAAAAAACAATGTATATAACATCTTTTCTTTTACTCATTTTTTTCAAAGCTTCGTATAACAATATGGTCATTAATAACAAACAATGGATACTATATACAAGATCCAAAATATCACAATAAAGGTAAATTTTGACGTCATTGTGACGAATTATTAGGCCAAATAATTAATATTCCCTTAAGGGTTTTGTTTTCGTGAGGACCCTCCATGGTTCATTTTGGCGGAACGTCGTGAATGTAAAGATTTTATAGGTGTATATAAATGTGATACTGACGATTGGAAATTGTTAAATGTAAGAAATTATATACATATTTTCAAAATTTTTGCTGAATAGTATTATTGTGATAATTTTATTTACAAATTATCATCAACCATTAGGTGTTCCAAGTTGATACTGTAGACTTAGACAACATAGCGTTATCACCAAATGGTCATTATATTGTAGCGTGGGACAACTGCATTTGGGTAAGTTTTTTATCTTAATAAAATACTATTATTAACATTATGTGCATATGCTTATTAATACTTTTTGGTATACTAGTACAAATTTTTGATTTATACATTGGATGGCCAATGTTTAGGAAGCTTTTCTATAGATGACGAAGGGCTAGGTGTTAAATCTGTTGCATGGTCTCCTTCGAGTAAATTGGTAGCAGTTGGGAGTTACGATCAAAAGGTGTCATCAAAAGTAATTTATTTTAATTTATTTAAATGAATTAATCTAAATGCATTTACCATATAGATCCGTCTCTTCAACAGCTACACCTGGTCACCAATAATAGAATTCATACATGCCAATCGAATTAAAACCCCTAATAAATTGGTATGAATTAAAGTAACCTGAATTTTAACATGTAATTTAAAATTAAATAATGCGTCAAATTATGTTATTAGAAAATATGGAAAGAAGAGAATGAATTCAATAAAGAATATGGTCGAAATATGGCAAAATGTATGTATTTTCTTATTTCCGATTTCACAGATTAATCTAACCTGATTAAAACACTTAATAGACGACCTTGTCGATGGGCCTTTAGAGGTTCCCTCAATTCTAATTGAAGCGAAACCAAATCCTAAGTTAGGCGTAGGATATTGTAAATTTAACTCTAATGGTCACTTTATAGCTGCCCGAAACGGTAAAACTTTTGATAATGATATTTGAAATCATTATTTTCTGTTTGTCTTACTTGTTTTATTTTTTGCAGATAATATGCCAAATTGTCTCTGGATATGGAATATTCCACAACTAATGCCTGTCGCTTTAATTATTCAATCGAGCCCAATAAAACACTTTTATTGGAATCCAATTGGGCCAGATCAACTCGTGATTTGCTGCGGAAATGAATATGTGTATTTTTGGTGTGGTCAAGAACTTGGTACAGAAATTATTCAAGTTCCTGTTGGTAATAATTTAATCATATACTTATTAATTTTGTCTTGCGCTTAATATTTAATCAATTTATGTGCACTTTATCTTAAAAACAGCAAATTTTGAAGTGCATAACGTTCGATGGCGCTCGGACGGTAAGTCCTTATTAATCATGGATAAAGCACTTTTTTGTGCTGCCTTTTTTTTGTAAAAAAAAAAGTGTGTTAGTGCAGTCTGACGATTTATCAAATATGGCACACCTTTTATGGTATGAAAATGTCGATTAGATATTTCGGTTGCACAATATCACATGCTAATTGGCCAATCAGATTACAGTCATGATAAATAAAAAAAATTGATTTTTCGTAGTAACGTATAACTAAAATACTGCATTGTAGATATATGTATGTATGCACGGCGTGAATTTGGGTGGTTGTTTGTTTATATACCATATTTATAATTTTTTTTTTTTACGTATGGTTATACTAGTTTTTAGGCCCGGGGGCATAGTTTCAAATTTATTTAGTTTTTTAGTTAAAATATTTTGGGGTGTAGTTTAAATTTATTTAGTTATTAAAAATACAGTGCACACTCTCAAATCCGATAGGCATGGTGGACAGCTTTTGTATCTGTTTTGATTTAAGATACCAATGGCCTACCGGTCACATGATTATAAATAAATATAATTGGCTAGATATATATCTACTTGGTCATGCAAAGTTCGACCCGAGCAAATCAAATAGATTTATAATACCTGACAAACCCAATATCTTATAGGAATCTGATCTTTTGAGTATCGGCTATCAGAATGGCAGGTTATCGGGTTTGAATTATGGAACTGGATCAATTTTTTATCGGGTGTAAAAGATTATCGGTTTTGACAGGATCAGTTTTGGGAGGGCATATTGTATTTTTAAAGAATATTGCTATTTATCACCAGTGGTGATATTACCAGGAATACTATATCTCAAAAACCTACTAGCTA